TTTTTTCATGAAAAAAGTGGGCCTTGGCACAAAAAAGGTTGAAAAACACTGAAATAAAGTATGCTAGAATTGCAGAGGAAGGGCAGCTGTGGGGAAGGCACATCAGCCAATTGCCACAAGAGGGCACTGTGTAGCTAACAGGACATCATGTGTTTGCCCTGCCAAATGTCCCATAGGTGCTTTTTCAGGAGGCAATTGGACTTTCTTGGATTTTTTTTCCCTTTTGAAGACATTTCACTTCTCATCCAAGAAGCTTTTTCAGCTCTGACAGGACAATGGGGAATGGAAGGAATTATGGGGAATGGAAGGGCTCCCTGCCTAAGCAGGGGGTTGGACTAGAAGACCTCCAAGGTCCCTTCCAACTGTGTTATTCTGTCCTATTGTATATTTCCCCAATGTCCTGTCAGAGCTGAAGAAGGGTCTTGGATGAGAAGTGAAACATCTTCAAAAGAAAAAAATAAGAGAGTCCAGTTGCCTCCTGGGAAAAAAAGCACCTTTGGGACAACCAAGACCTGGATGACTGAGAATCTCTTGCAAAAAGGGCAGGGAAGCAATGCAGATTGTTCTTCAAAGTAAATCAGACTAGGAAATCCATGTCCCGTAGATCATTACTAGTTTGATTGTAAAGCTATTATTTTTATTTTTATTATTTTTATTATTTTTATTTTTATTTTTATTTGTATATTCATATTCATATTCACATTCACATTTATATTATTTACATTTGTATTTGTATTTGTATTTATATTATTTATATTTGTATTTGTATCTGTATCTATATTTATATCCGGCCTTTATTCTTCTTTTTATAAACCACTTAAGGTGGCGAATATATCTAATACTCCTTCTTCCTACTGTTTTCCCCACAACAACCACTCTTGTAAGGTGAGTTGGACTGAAAGAGAATGAATGGCTCAACGTTACCCAGCTGGCTTTCATAGCTAAGGTGGGATTAGAACTCACAGTTTCTATAGTCACCGAAACTTGCAAGTCTGAGTTTGCTCCCCCCATCCCTTCCTTTTAGCAATAGCAATAGCAATAGCAATAGCAATAGCACATAGACTTATATACCACTTCAAAATGATTTACAACCCTCTCTAAGTGGTTTACAGAGTCAGCCTATTGCCCCCAACGATCTGGGTTCTCATTTTACCCACCTCGGAAGGATAGAAGGCTGAGTCAACCTTGAGCTGGTCAGGATTGAACTCCAGGCTGTGGGCAGAGTTCGCCTGCAATGCTGCATTCTAACCACTGTGCCACCAGGTCTCCTTCCTCAGAACTAAGGAGGGGCCTCTATGAAATGTCTATTCACAATAAATTCTTACCCCAGTACTCAGATCAGTGGTGAAATTCAAAAATGTTTACTATTGGTTCTGTGGGCGTAGCTTGGTGGGCGTGACAGTGAAAGGATACTGCTCCCTTCTCCTGGGGGAAGGATATTGCAAAATCTCCATTCCCACTCCGAGAGGAGGAAGGATATTGCAAAATCTCCATTCCCACCCCACTCTGGGGCCTGGCTAATTCAGCATTCTCCACCACACAATAGCCAGTCAAGAGTCTTTGGGAAGCTCAGAGGTGTAATAAGGAGAGCTGCAGCTGTCCTCCGTTTTCACTTTCCAGTAATTAAAAGTGTTAAAAGGAAGCAAGAGAGGCAGATGTACAAAAAGGAAGCAAGAAAAATATGAGGATATCCGGTATGTCTTACTAGCTTTGATGACATGCTAGCTGTTTGTCAACCAATGGAGTTCCCCACTATTCACATGCCAGCATATTGCCCGCAGGCCTTATCAAAATAAACACTCACACACTCAGTTCTATCTGTGGTAGAACAGAACAGAAATGAAGAGTATTGGAAGAAATGTCCATATGGGTTTAGTTCCAATTGGGGAGAAAGACACTGGAAACAATGGTGGCTGTTTGGAAAGATGGTTTTTAATGGGGGACAGGACCACATGGCTTGAGGTCCTGGGGGAAAAAGGGAAGAGATGCTGGGTTTTATGCCCTCTCTGGGCTTTTGAATTTGAGCTTGTATTATGATTGGTTGTCAGACTCCCAAGGGACCATGCAGGGGCAACTCCGTAGGCTGGGTTTTGAGTCCCAAGCTTGGTTGAGCCTTGCTGGATGATGTAATGAAAAGGCTTTAGGATTCCTATTATGGCTCTGTCTGCAGGAGGTAGATCTTTGTTATGTAGAATAGACTGGCTCAGGCCTTAATGGCCTATTGACAAAGTGGGGGGGGGGAGCTGAGTTTCTGCCTCCCTTTTAGGGGAAATATTCTGTTCTTTTAATATTTCCTAAAATATTTCATTTTTCTAGGAGAGGGGTGGGTGCTAAGTTCTTACAATGGAGTGGAATAGAATTCTTTATTGGCCAATGGAATGGAATAGAATTCTTTATTGGCCAATGGAATGGAATAGAATTCTTTATTGGCCAATGGAATGGAATAGAATTCTTTATTGGTCAATGGAATGGAATAGAATTCTTTATTGGCCAATGGAATGGAATAGAATTCTTTATTGGCCAATGGAATGGAATAGAATTCTTTATTGGCCAATGGAATGGAATA